GAAATAACAGTGAGAGAGAGAGAGGAGAGACAGAAAGAGAGAGAGAGGGAGAGAGAGAAAAGAGAGAGAGAGAACGTCTGCTCCCGTAAAAACACACCCTTGAAAACTGTGGTACATTGTTCTAACTCTACAATAAATACAGGCTTATATTCATGTACACAAATTTGCATGGCTTTCAGCAGTAGAACATGACCCTCTTCACTTTCTCTTTCAATGCTGGAAGAGGACGAACAGCCGATCCTTCAACTGGTCTCGTGCTTCGAGCGTCCGAGACCTCAGGCTCCATGTAAAACCTTGCTCGAAATGCAGCCAAGTGTGCATAGTATGCAGGAGGAACTGAGAACACAACAATACAATAACATCCAAGGAGATTTTCATTTTTTTTGTTTCTTTCAAGAAATTTTCTAATAAAAGAGAGAAAATTAAAAAATAAATATTAAGAAGAATTTGAAAGTAGACATCTATGAACATTATACACATAAATTCTAATTTCAACATTTTATTTTTCTAAAAATATTACTTATTATTGATTTATAACTTATAATTTCATGTAAAGTATGTCCATATGAAGCATCACACACTTGTGTGTTTGTGTGAGAGGGAGAGGGAGAACACGGAAGCTTACCCACTGAAACTGATCTAGTGCATCGCGCATACCTGCAAAATCAACAGATAGGAGCCGGTTGTCATAACATAAAAACCATAAATAAAGCTTTTTATGCTACGACTTAAGTTTCCCATAGCTTGCCAGCACCTAACGAAATATTGGATGTGAAAATACATGGTTGGTGAGTAACATTCTTCTTTTGGAAAGACTTTGAGCAGAGGAACCACATGCCCCAATCGCAATTTTCAACATACGATGGTCGGCTAGGAGAAAGCAAACTGTAGGTAACCCAAGTGCAAGCACTTATACAAACCATTACAAAAAGTACAGTTGCAGTGCTCTGTAGTGGTACCAGTAATGGTAATGAAACTATAAGAATGTATGTTATGAAAGCTTACGTATAACAAAGATTGTTCGTTAAAGACTGCATTCCATCAGCAGTGAAATTGTTCTCGTCCCACAGCACATGGTAATGAGCCGGCCGACTTGTTCCCTACAACATGACAAATTGATGATTAGAGATCCACATGTATAACCACGTCATACAATCATTTCATCACCATCACATCCAACAAAAATAAAATGAAAGAAAATGTTGACAACACAAACACGACCACAATGTTGAATAATGTCATCAGCATCAACATAAAAGAAAATAGTAGAGAACGCAATCACAAGCAAGTTCTCCAAACATATCACTACTATCATCATCGACATGATAAAAAAAAACGAGAAGGAAAGGGTTCAGAATGCATGCATGATCAATCATGGAATCACCGTCATCATCATACCTGAATTCCAGCATGACTGCATAAATAGAAATCAAACTCGGTAGGATGACATATTTTTGAGTCCACTACAGTGCCTGGAAATGAAACAGAAAACTTTCAATTTGCAAGTTTGGAAACAACAATGATTATGCAACAATCAAAATCAATAAAAAGTACCAGAGAAACGCAACAATTAATCGCTTTCTATAACTTCCTTTCAATCTAAAACTCATCTTCTTTTTTTTCTCTTTTTCTTTGGCGAAGTTTAAAATACTTGATGAAAATATCTCTGAGTCATAAAGTATCACAACGATTCAATTTTTACGTTTTCCACGTAGAACCACTTTCAGGAGATACACAAGCAATCAAGATAACGATGCATGAGATCTGAGGAAAAAAAGAAAATGAACTTTCACCAGGTAAAATGTTGCCACTTCTGTCAGTGCTGCTTCTGTCCTTATGGTTGTTGGCAAAGAGTCTAGTATGGTGTCGCTTTTGGACCACCACAAATGTCACCGGAGGCTGATAATTTGGCTCCAAGGATTCACAGGCCTGGATTTAAGAGGTTGACAACATATATTAGGATATGAAGCCCATATAACTGGAATAATATAGTGAAGTTATGGCAGGGTAAAATACTAGGGAAAATGACCATAGCCCAATGGTCTGCAATAGATGGTATTCCAATGTTAGATCCACCACCTGTTCCCACTAATATATGATTAACTGGAGTTGGGCCCACGAGAACATTTAGACTTCAGTTGATAACCAACCATTCACCAGCAGGAACAGATGGCGGGCTTATCATTAGAGTATCATTTATCATAGTCTATAATTGTTTGATGAATACTAAAACAATCCCCTGCTTGGACAGGCAATTAAATAGTACAGGAATACAAACCAACCTTTCGAATGGCATCCAACTCATATAGCAATACTTGATAAAATTGCCCTTCACTCACACCATCCCTGAACAAATGGATATCATTTCATTTAACCCCACAAAAGATAAACCAGAACGGGAAATACTCTAGAATCCTTTGGAGTATTGTGTTATAGACCATGTTTCCACCATAGTCTACCAAGTCACAATCATCTATTGAAACAGACGGTGATGAAGAGAAAGAGTATGCACCACCATTGGGGACACATAGAGTTACGAGCATGTCCCACTCCCTCTCTATCACTGCCTATCATTCTGATGGATGATGATGAGCCCATGGACTACATTTTATCCAGAGTCCATAGTTATATTAAGGTGAGCCCTGGCTGCATGTCTCCACTCTTCCTAAATCCATCTTAGAGATGGATTGACAATCCAAAACTCTGTAGATCTATCATCAGGACCTCCACGATCATGAATCTGACAAAAAAATAATCTCAAGCCTTAAAACTGGTCCAGCTTGCTCCATTTTTCTATTTTGGATCGTTCATTTCAATTTTTCAGAGATCATCAAATATTTAGAAACTCGAAATTCAACAAATTGATGTTAAATGGACTTGCAGAGATTTGGGAGGTTCTTTGGATCCTAAATCCATAGAAAATCCAGGGGACACATTCAGCCAGGGACACGAGAAAAAGTTTTCCTTTATATTTCTCTAAATGATTAAGAACACAGCATGCAAATTAGTTATACCTGTAGAATATTATCCTCATTGGCTTTTGTCCTGTGGCCTTCCTAAATGAAATTAAGAGTTCCCTGCAGTATGTGGGCACTTAGGAGAGTTAGGGGAGTATCTCCAAAAGCAGTAACAATCCATCATAACTGAAACACTAAACGACTCCGTTTTCAGAAAATTAGAGAAGAGACAACCACTGAAAATGAAAACTTTCACCATTATATCACATCTTTAGAATTTTATGATTTCCGTTAGATTTTAATGAAACTTTCATCACTATGTATGTGTAAGCCAAGTTCAGTGTCACATCAATCATGAATCATATCATCACCATGCTAGCCCCTGTATGAAGAGGATGCGGCACATACTGCCACAGACAGAAGATTCAATGAGGCCATTGTGGGACCCTCTCCCTCTCTCACACATCAAAAGTGAGAGGACCAGTCTGTAATTATAACAAGTGTAGGATTCTTCCTTCTATCTTAGATTCTTAGGGGCCTGCTTCCATTTATTTTTTTCTTCTTTTGGGATTGTTTTCTCAAGGTAAGCTTTTTACTAAGATACATCATTTTGAAGCTTCAAAATTTATAGTGGGAAGTTATTGAAGTGAGCCGATATTTTATTTATAAACAAACCTGATCATGCCTCCAGCTACTGTTCCCCTCACTGGGTCATGCCATGTCTTGTACAAATCTTGTATAAGCTCCTGTCTATGAGCCTGAGCACAAACCAGGCCTGCATATTTCGTAACTTCTGGCCAGTCCTGGGAAGCTACAACCTGTATCATCAGCATTACTTTGCCTCATCAGTGGCAATGCTTTGACTAGGGATATAAAATAACTATATGAACTAGGGAAAACCCAACCAATAAAATGATGGATGGTGATGAAGAAAGAGAAGTTATCGCCATTAGAGACATGTAATTTCCAGCATGTCCCCTTCTCTATCTCTCTTTTTTTTTCATTAATGTTAACTTGGGACCTTGGTTGGAATGGAACTCTAGATGTCATGATGTGAAATCCTGCAACCCGTACCACCCAGGCCCAGAGGCCATTCCTGGTCCCACTCTCACTATCCATACATGACTGTCATGACCCAATGGACTATGGTTTCAACCATGGTCCATTGGATTGTTAATTTCTCTGCTTTAGGTACATTAATCACAAAGAAACAAAGACAATGCATCATACAGCTGCAATTGAAGGGCTGGAGTCTTCTCCAGTCTCTGGGTGAGTTACATCTGCCCCAAAGATAATAGTCGGTATATCACTGACCAAAGGGATTCTCCAACTTACAGCATCCAAAAGAACTGTATTTCTTCCACCCATCTGTGACAAAAAAGTATACATAATATGAACAATGAAAATAAGGGAATCAAGAGCAAGTTACAACAAAAAGACAAAGATGAAATAGTATAAAATAATTCAATGAACTACGGAGAAAACAAGTGTATCGAGAGCATTGTTTTTTGATGAAAAAATGGACGGTTAAAGAGAATGGGACACACCAATGGGATCATGTCCTTTTCTGTGGATCCCACTCTCTCTCGCTCTCCATCATCACTCATCATTTGAAGGGAAGGAATTTCCATAGCCCAATGGGTGACAGTATACCTCACCGAGAACAGGGTATCAATTTACCTTAACATTGATCTTTAACGAAACATTAGCTAGGTACTGTTTGCTTATCTTGAATACATGCTTTGTTAAACAGCATTGAGATATTAAACCCAGATCAGTCTCGCAGATCCGTTTAAGATCCCCTGAACAACAAAGAAAACTTCATTACCATAAAAAATTCCTCCCGTTAAGGTTACAATAGTATGCATTTAGGCAACTATAAATCCAAGGAGAGAAATGAACAGAAAACTTAGAGGTTCAAGACATCACATACCATACAATGAACCATTGTTGTCAGGAAGAATGGCTACAAGCAACTCTAACTCTTGGCCCTTAAGTTTATTCATGGCCGCATTATAGACATGCTTTAAAGCCTTTTCAACTTGTTCAGGTCTGGCAGAATAGACAGGAATCACCGGTTCAGGATTGAATTCCTACAGCCATAAAAGAAAATTAAGTCGTAACAACACATTTCTTGTACCCATGAATCGTGAATCTATGCATCAAAACAAAATCTGCTAATAAAATGTACCACATGGAAGTTGTCAATGAAAGGATCATTAACGAAGCAGAGTATTGTGCATCAAAACACAACAAAACAACGGATTGCGAGCTGAGAAATCTCACCATGCCAGATATTTGACACATCTGTGCTAGTTCTTGGCAAAAGCCACGAGCGGTGCTTTCTTGAACCCCTCGGGAAAAATTGATACAGGCCCAGTGATTCACCGTGCTGCCATTTATCATTTTCTGCAGTAATTTAAGCAGGAAAAAGCAATATAAACAAAAAATATAGCTCTCCGTAGTTTAACGAGAGAAAGGAAAACTGCATGCTAAAACAGACTTGAGGGAAGAGAGTATATGTACCTTGTTCATCATATTCCATTGCCCAACTTGTGGTAGACAGTTCTTTTCCTTACCAGTGTCATGGTATTTAAGCTACAATAATAAAATAAGAAGTGAATAAAAAAGTGGATTTTAGTCTAAGAGTACACTACTAACGTAACATAATTCACTAGATTTCAAATGGTACATCTGGTCATTAGAACATTACCCAAGGTGCAGGAAGCACTCGCGCTTCAACTGAAGCAAGTTTGTCACTGATATCGAGGCCAAATTCCTTCGCATAGGGATCTTGATCATATGCATTGTGATGAACTGTCTAAAAGAGATACACAGAAAATTGGAATAGGAACATGTGTTTCCCATCTTGTGGAACCACCACACAATACAGTAAAGCCATTACAATAAATGAACTGAACTATAGAATGGAGGTATCCCTTTTTAACAGATACAATTTCATTATGAACTTATGAAATCGCATTCTTCCAAGATGAAAGCTGAAGTATAAACTCAATGGACTGTACATAAAGAACTGCAAAATAAGCGATCCTACTAAAGCAGTCTCGAGAAAAAAATTCTAATCTCCAATAGTGTACATTGATTAGTCTAACAAGTAAACCAAATATTACACAATGGAATACAAGAAGGAAGAACTCAAATTGAACTGCAACCTGCAAAATGTCGGTTTCTTGATCTTTAGGTCTCTGGCAAGTAACCTTCAACAGGGCAGTAATCTGCCTCTCATTCAACCTCTTCGTGTATCTCTGTCCCTCTACAATTTTGCATGCCTGCATGAGCAAACGATTATGGTAAGAAGTGGAGATGGAAAAGTAGAGGTAAAATTCAGTCCACGATGTGGACATACTTCATGGAAGCAGCCTTAATGAAGAAGGGCGATACCTCCATCGGTAAATAATTTGCTTTTTTCTGGTTTCCAACCTGAAGGCAAGGGAGATGAGTATGCTTAATTGTAAATCCATACATTTCTTGGAAGTATTCAATCACTGATTTCATGTTTGACTGATCATCGACTGGAAACCTGTTGGTGTGGAAACGTTCAAATTCATAAGAATAATAAAGGAAGACAATTATCATAGAACCAAGTAAAATATCAGTAGCAAACAGTCGAAAACAATCAAGATCTTGAAAAATTCATTATTAATGTACTACGATATGAAGTTTAAATGCATGAAGTGAATTTATGACATTTCTGTACCATTAATCAAAAAATTACACTATGCTGCAAGGGCCAGTTTTACAATTCCTGAAGACTTAGGCAATCTCAAAAGTTTTCCAGAGATGGTGGGTTCCTAGCAATTCATATTTGACATGACCAATCAAAAAGAAAATAAATAATTCAAAACAGGACCCTCCATGTAATGTACGAACAAAAAGGAGAAAGTGTCAAAACTTTTTCCATAATGAACAACATTGATGCCTCAGAAAAAATTTTGATGAGGAAGTAATATTCTAATGGAGAATTGAATAGTTTAAAAAAACACTCAATTGAAGGTTGGCGAAGCAGATATGGAATCCCGGGTTATAAGGCACTGTGGAAAAAAATAATCCACACCTTAGCTCTCTCGTAGGTTGTGTTGTCAATCCCGAAACTCTGTATTTTCGGCGCACACTTCCTCTATGTGTAACTTCAACTTTTACACCTCTGAGCGCCTTCTTGATCTAGCCATGATAAAAACAATTGGAAGGATGAATAAAGTATCGAACAAATTTTTATATATTAACTATAACACAAATCATTTGAACAATGATCCAGATTGGATTAAAAATATTGCACACACTATTGCAGATTGTCAAGTCTAAAAGGATGCATCTAAAAAATGGCTCAGAAAACTATCTTGAGTAATAAATAAGAATTTCCCTATTTTGATGACAATGACAAGCAAAAAAAATTGAAGTCAAACTGCACAGGTCGAAGCAAGTTTGCAACTAACTGATGTGAATGATGAGTAAGCAAAGCGGGGCATATCTTTTTGCTATAGTGCAAGATATGATACCTTTATGCGGTCGGCGTCAGACAACGGCCTCGACAAGACATCCTTCTTCAAAAGTTGAGCGACAAAATCCACCACAGGGAGTGGTTCAATGAAAGCCGTAGAAGACATGTCTGGATATTAAGGCATGACAACGAATTAGTGAAGCTGCTAAGAGAAAAAACTGCACCTCTAAATGTGATTCTTGATAATGCTAAATAACAGTCAAGTTTTTAATCATATTGGAAGGGTTTTACAGACATTCAACCTAAAATATTTATATCCAAAATATATGCATTTGGATTTCTCACCAATATTAAGTGACAAGCCCATCTGGGTAGGCCTAATGCTCTGGTAAAAGCCACACCACGATTCCAATCCATCTCCAAGCCTCTGTGGCCTTCGCAGATTAGGAGAATAGAACGACCTCCCTACTGGATAATACCTGAAGGCACATGCATCATAGTAACATATGAGAGAAGTAATCCTATCAGTCTATGGAACACTTGCCACTAAAAAGTCTCAAGCTTAGAAAACCATACCTTTGACTTGATAGTTCCCTTAAGACAACATCAAGAACTTTAAGAGCTTCCTGAGGAGTATCGGATCGCCTACCAGATAGAAATTCACGTAGATGGTGCAAGTCGGCTCGAGCAACAAATTTAATAGCCACTTTGAACTCTTTTCCTTTCCTGTAATAGAAATTGGATATTCAATCAAAGAATTGCTTTACTAATTAACCTAGACAGTGAAAAACACTGCAAATGTATAGGAAAAGGGCCAAATGAATCTTTGTGAATTTAAAAGCCAAGAATATTTTCAACATTTGGGGGTTCCAATCATTCATTTCCATTAACAAGAGTAACTGTAGGCAAGTATGACTTGGACAGTGAACATTCACAAATAAAAGACTTGTGATAATAAATCAGATGAAAAGGAAGAAAAGACAACAGAATCTGATAAATTAGTTGAGTGAGATACTATGAAGTAGGCATGCATGCATCTTGGGCTCTCAATAAATAAAAGAATTTAATATACTAGCAGCCATAGTCTCACAGAGAAAGGAGTCAATCACAGAAAGTATTGAGAAAAACAAAAGATCTTTGTGTTCCTCATACCCACCTAACACCACCCATTCCATCATCTTCATCATCTAACTTTATGTTAAACTCCTTTGAAGTGAAAGGAAGCAACCCAGCTGTGTATAAGCTTTTTTTTCCATCATAAGCAGGAAATCTCATGCCCAAATCTGACTCCCTGTAAAGTTTCACCAACTGTGCTATGATGGCTTTGTTCACAGATTTGGAGCTCACTTCAGGAGTGATGGTCACCTGAAAAAAGGAATAATGGAAATCTCAGTGACCCATTTCACCATTTTTCAAATTCAAAGCCCATCACATAAGCTGTACACACAAAATCATAACAATTTGTAAGCAGGAATTCCCAATTTCAAAGCGAAATACACATTCTCACATAAGAATCAATGCTTGGAAATTTCCAAATCAAATACTAAGACAGATAACACCACAAGATCTATGCATACCACAACTCAAATTCAACTATAATATCAACAAGTAAACAAAAAACACAAGAAAATCATCACTTACATCATAATGGTTCAAGTCCTTATCTGGTAACTCAGCAAGGAAATGGTTAGCCTTTACTATACATTTCACACCCATTTGACCATAGCCAGGACGCCGAGGAAAACTCAAAGCTCGCCCAGAAGCCTGACTGTTGGTGCTATTTTGATAAAACCCATTCTGTGATTCCTTCCTTGGAACCATAATTGACAAAGAAGATTGCTTATTCCCATCAACACCAGTTTCTGTGTGCATGAATGAATCCCCTTTCAAAGCTTTCACTCTCCCTCTTGCCCTTCTTTTCCCTCTACTGTTCACTTGAGGAACGGAGTTTTGGGTTTTCTCCAGTTGCGTTTCTTGGGTTTTACAGTTGGCTACCTCTTGAATTGTTGTTTGTTGATTCATGGAGTTATGAAGAGGTTTTTTGGATATAAAATGTTGCTCTGTGCTCTCCTTCATTTGTCTATGAGGCATCTTTCTTAAAAGAAATCAAGATACAAAAAAATACAACTTTTGGTAAATTTTTGCCCTTTTTCAACTGGTTTCATCCAAAGAAAGCCTCACTAAACCTGCATGGAACAACAAAAGAGAGATAGTTTTAGCAAGTCCTTAAAAAACCCAATAAGCCTGAACCACCATTACTATTACCATAACTACTGAATAGCTTGTACACAACAGTTAGTGAACCACGCTTTAAAGGAGATCTCTGAGAATTTTGAATTTATATCATTATGATCCATTCACACTTATCTCACACATGTTTTCAGAGTTTTACGGCACCCATATTAAAACAGGAAAAGAAATACAGAAGAACATTAGTACATCATTTAATTCATAACCTCCCATCAACTGAAATTTAATAAAGTGAAAAGAGAACCAAGAGAGAGAAAGATGTTAACAGCTAGAAACATGCTGTTACTTGGACAAAAGGAATAAAACCCATTAAGTGATATTAAATGGTTGGGCCCTGGACGCCAGAGAAAAAGACAGAGAGAGAGAGAGAGAGAGAGAGAGAGAGAGATTTTTGAAGCCTGGTTAGAATGGAACTGAATTCATGAACCAGAGAATAAAGGAAGCATGAATAGAACTAGTACCAGGAAGAAATGATGATAAAAAAATGAAGGTGCCAAGGTGCATGTGTAGTGAGAGGAAATAAATTTTCAAAAAGATGAGAGAGAAAGAGAGAGACAGACGTCAATTTTGGCCAAAGAGACAGGCGGTTGGGATGGGATGAGGTGCTCTTTTGCCATTTTTTGCAAACTCTCTGATAAAACAGAGGAAGTATCAGATTTTTTTTTTCTGAGTTATAAAACCACAGAAGTATAGGCAAAAATAGAAGCTGGTAACGGCTGCTACCTGGCTGGTTAGAGAGGGAAAGCTTACATTATGATGGGAGAGAAAAATAATGCACGAGACAAAAGATAAAGCTCATTGAATCCTTTCACGCTCTCTTACGGCTCTGTCAAAAGTTAAAAAGCCCCTCAAAGCTAGTGTTCGAGAGAGGTTTGCCTTCTGTTCAGAGGAGAGAGAGGCTCAAGTTTTAGAGAAAGTGAGGGATATTTGGAGGTGTGGTAATAACGGGCAACATGAATTGCATTTGTGAAACTGATTCCTAGAGAGAGAGAATTATTATGTGGGGTTGTAACCAGGAATATATTTGATATATCAGGGGATCTTAGAGAGAGAAAATGGAGGATCTGGGGGTGCAATCATGCAGTGTGGAGAGAAACTAGTCGGGTAGCAAGACAGGCCGGTTCAAGAGAGAGAAAATAAAGTATTTATGGTTGTTTGAGAGAGGTTTTAGAGAGAGAAACTAAAGTATACTAGACTAGGAAGTAACATGAAAAATGTGAACTCTATTCATGGTGGTTCGAGAGAGGTTTTAGAGAGAGAAACTAAAGCATACTAGATTAGGTGGTAACATGGAAAATGTGATCTCTTTTAGTGAGAGTGAATGCAAGGTGCCAAATTATAGTCGTTCTAGAGAGAGAAAGTAATGCCAAACTGTAGTCTATCTAGAGAGAGAAAGTAATGGATGAGAACAAATGGCGAAAAGGAGCCTTTTATGATATACACAATGAGGCAAGCCTTTTCCTAAGTTTGAAAAGACAGATATACCCTCGCCGCCATGGGTTGTTGAAACAGTGAAGTTCCGGGCCCACCGATTCGTGGGACCCGCACTTTCTTTGCCATCTTATTCGTGGGGGCCGTCGATATAATTTGTCAAAATGACTAAAATACCCTATAAGCACGTGGAGTGCATACACGTGCAATGTACATGCATTGGTAGAGAGAGAACGAGAAACTAGAGAGAGAGAGGAGTCGACACGTGACCTCTGCTCCATTCATGTAGAGAAAGAGAGACTCGCAGGATATAGAGAGAGAGGAGAGAGAGGAGAGAAGTTAGGTAGAGAGAGAGAAAGAAAGGAGAGAGAGCATTCATTGATGTGAGAGAAAGAGCCACGCGTTTTGCGACTGGCTTGAGAGCGAATGAGTCGAGTTTGGTTTTATTTAGAGAGAGAAAGAGAGCTCGTCTCAAAGATAATTGGATAGAGAGAGAAACACAGAAGCTGCCAGTTTGTGCTTGATTAGAGAGAGACGCCACCTTCTTTGATTTAAGAGAGAGAGAGGAAGACAGCATAGGTTTCAAAACAGAGGAAAGAGTGATAAAGATTTTCCGGTACACTTTCCTTGGTTTCAGAGAAAGAGAAAAATGCCTGCAACATTTTCGAGAGAGTCATGTAATAGCAGTATACGTTAGTTAGTAGCAAGAACTTTTTTTTTTTCAGAGAGATCATGTAATTGCAATATGGGCCGGCAAGTTAACAAGACTCCCGGAAAACTCGAATCGGCCAAAATCCGAGTACATTGATCGAGTCGTGTTTCGTGTTTCAGAACATACTATTGGTATGGGGAAATCAGGGACATTATTATTTATTAAAGAGAAATTAAGAACATGGCTAGAGAGAGAAGAGCGCTGTGCTTTAAAAAAAACTAGAGAGAGTACGTGCATTGCATTCTTCTTAGATAGAGAAAGAGAGCTACAGCATCGCATTCTTACCTCACAGAGCAAAACTGAGGTAGAGCTTCACTCTAATGGTGTGTTCATAAACTATAGAGAGAGAGAGCTCCCCGATATATACGCATAAGGAATGCAAAAAAGAGAGAGGAAGAGAGAGAGAGAGAGAGAGAGCTCTGATATAAACACCCAAGGCATGCAAAAATTCAACCACAATATGCTCGACACCCACCCTTTAGTTTTACGTGCCAAACATTAAATGCTCCAAACTCATAACTTATAACTGTTAACCAGCCCACAAAGGGTTTCTCTCTCTAAATTTATAATTCCAATTATACTTGTCGTCTTACTGTTTGTTTTTCTCTCTAAACTCCCAGGATTTAGGCCCTGCAACTCGCCCAACGCTCTCTGAGCACACACAAACGAAGAACAACACGCCAAACATAAAAAAACAGAGAGAGAAAGAAACCAGAGTCTAGAGAGAGAGAAAGAAGGTAGAGTCTAGAGAGAGAAAATGCAATCATGAGAGTTTCAGTAAAAAACAACCTTTTGTACCCTACAGGGCCGCAAACGCATTCAAAGCGCCCCTGAATACGCCACAACTTTGACAAAATCGCCACTGTCCTTTAATGCCTTTGCGCCTGCAAATAACCAAAAGATTGATTCATCAGAGGAAGAAATATTCAAAAGAACAGTGAAATTAGGGAAATTTTAAGAAGAAAGGGAAAAGGTTATTTTTGCACAAATTTGGTTTGCAGAGAATTTACCAGATTTTCTCTCTCTAAAACCTTTGAAACTGTGAGTAAGTGATGCGTATCGGAGCAAATGTATCAGTGATTCAGAGGTTTAAGAACAAAGGGAAATACTTTGAAGGAAGTGAAAGAAAGACGAGAGAGTTTGTGTGGTTTTTTAGAGACTTTTTTTACACGCAGGCGTGCCCTAATTTTACGGGTTAGGACTGCGTTGCCCGTATTACATTCTGACAAAGACAGAGGTGTCCTTTCAAAAAGCCAAGAAACTTGGTAAATAATACACTAAAAAGCCAAGAAAACTTCTTACTCTTGCGCGACTGTGTACTATCTATGTACTCATGCTAGGCATACTTCTTAGATCTCAAATTTTGGGGATAATTTTGGGATGTAATAAATCTCTATAACCCATAAACTAATCTCAATAAAAATTTTGACAATAAACTCTATGTATTAAAAACAAATAATGCCCCAAGATTGAATAGAGACCATCAATATCTAAATATTATTTAAAATTTAAAATTCATAATTTATGTTCTGAAAATAATTATTTTGCCGTTCTCATGGGGTTTCCGATAATTTTAGACTAAAATAATCTAGCCAAGAAAATGTTTTTTTCGCGGGACTATACATATAGTATGCTCCCCCGAGACTTTTTTTTTGGATTTCTTATGAAAAATGCCTTTTGTAGATGTTAAAAAAACGAAATTTCTTTGAAAAAATGTAACTGGCGAGAGAGAGCTAGTTAAACCTGAATGCTTCGGCAAGAAACGAAATATCCGAAATTTGGGATAAATCCACAAAGGATTCCTTGCTAAGGCCCCTCTTCAAACAATGTGAGCCGAAATTTCGGAAATTTCACCTACTATAGGTTGCAAAATGCGAAAAATCGAAAGCCTAAGAGAAGACAACCGCACAGGACGAAATTTCGCCCGAAATAGCCCGAACTTTTCGCACGTAGTACGCAGAATAAAGAAAAGTAGGAAGCGGAGCAGTTTATCGAAGTTGCAGGGATTTGTCAGAGAATTTATGGGCAAAATCTTTAATAGAAATGATAAGTCCTTTATTTTATGGAGCAGGTTTCAAGAAAAGGAAGCTTTAATCGAATTTAAAAGCTTTATTAAAAGCAAGGGGCGTGCAGTTATAGCAGGAAAAAAGCTTTTCTTTTAACAGATTAAAGAAGTTAAAAAAGAGAACCCTGTTTTCATAACATTTTCAGTGCCCGTAATGGAAGCTAAAGAAGCCCAGTTTCTAACATTTGCAGTGAAGATTTACTGATTAAAAAAAGAATAATCAACCATGGATTCTCCATCTCCATTAAACTTTAAACTCACAAGAATTTAAACATGAAAAAGGATTAGAATCTAGTTTTTTAAATGTGGGTTTTTGATGTGAAACAACCTCAAGTTTTTGCACTTAACAGAGTAGATTATAAGAAATGATCAACATTAAATAAAAAGAGTCATGGCTTCGAAGTTCTAATACTCATGCTTAGAGAAAAGAGGGAAGAAAACCCAGCTCACAATGTCGATTAAATCAGTGTAAACTTGTAATAAAATCAATATCAAAACCTCTCTCTCTCTCACAAATAAAACCAACATCAAAACCTTAGAATATCGTTTACAGTGAGAGAAATAAACAAGCTTATAAACTTAAAAGGCTAAGAAACCATGCAATTAGACTGATTATGGTGTCAAACTCTCAATTCAAATGAAGAAAAAAAGACCAAGGTTTAGAGAACTTACAGTGTACTTGTGGAAGAGAGAAGGGGTGAAAAAACTCAAGATTTCAGCAATGAAAAATGAGAGAGACAGAGAGAGCTCAGATTTCACGAGAGGATAGACACAGAGAGAACTCAAATTTCATGAAAGGAGAGAGAGAGAGAGAGAGAGAGAACTCAGATTTCATGAAAGGAAAAGAATAGGGAGGTGTGGCCTTTGAAAGGGCCCCAAAAACAAAAGTAGTGGGAAAATTAAGAGAGAGAGAGAAGTGTGGCAATGGAAATGGGCGGCGCGCGCTGAGGTCGAGGTTTTCCAGGGGAATGTATGTCTCTCTCTCTCTCTCTATGGCTCAGTGCGAGAAGGCTTCATTGTCATTTCTTTCAAAAAATCAGCAGCGATATCGAGGTTTGTAGCTTTTGTGTATACAAGCCAGAGAGAGGAGAGACTGCGCACCTTTCTCTCTCTCTAAAATAATATCTCTTTTTTTAGAGAGAGAGAACCTTTACACCACTCTCTCTCTCTTAAAGAGAGAGAAAGCCTTTACACCACTCTCTCTCCTCTTTTTCGGTTTCGTTTTGGTTCTCGTTTTCCGGGCTACTGCTTTCGGTACACTCGAAAAAGTTTGGGAAATGGCTCTTGATTTTTGCTAGTAATTTCTTGCTTACCCTTGACTCGTTGGGCTCATAATTTAGATCCGTTTTTATTGGGCCGTATATCTTCCAGAACATATGGTAATTTAGATCCGTGTCTTTCGGGCTTTAAGTCTTCCGGTACATATCCATTGCGTTTTAATGACTTCGATCATCTTGGATCCCTCTATTGGTTCTAATTTGAATTGGTTGGAATCTATATTTTATTAAAAAAATAAATAATTAAAATAAAAATTTATCCAGTGGAAACTAAGGGACCTAAAATATATTATATAAATTTAAAAAATTATAAAAAATGATATTTTAGGAGGAACCAAACTAGTCCGAGCATCTTACAATTCGTCCTATCTCGACCAATTCACCATCCAAATTGGCAATCCGTATTGAGAATACCGTTTTTAGAACACTTCGTAGTGGTATTTAATTGTTGGATAAGACTTTGATTGAATATCTTAAAAACTTTGAATTTGAGTATTAAAAAACGCAGCTAATATTAAGATGGTGTTTTTTTTTAGACCATTTATTTCTAATGCAAGGTGGTCACAATTACTTGCCACCACCCGATGTGAAATTTGATAGTTTGGATGTACAATACAATTCGAAAAAATATATTTTGAAGTTTGAACTTGGTCAGTGAATAATTAGAACCACCAATTAAATATCCAATAACTCTACTTTATACCAAATGTAAATGGTCTCATTCTACACTTTACCCCAAAAAAGAGCAATCATATTTAGGATGATCTCTCTTAGGCGCCGGCTTCACTACACACTTCTGACAAAAGGAACAATTATATCTTTTGACATGAAATTACCCATACCTAAAAACTTGAATTGGCAAGGCAAATTGGCCACCTAGGAGAGGGTTATGATCAACAAATTGCCGGT